CACTGCGCCGTGCTCCCGACCGGGCTGCAGAAATTAGGTGCATTTCTCCTCTTCTAACCACTACCACCACCTTCGCAAGAACGTGATTAGGAGCTATACTGTGTCGAAGCGAGGTATTTTCTGCTGTTTTTTTTTTTACAACATTCCGAATCACTCCCTCCTCTTATACCGAGAAAGAAACTTGTGGAGCGACCAGGACAGTGAACTACTGTTGACCCTTCACACGTTGTTTGCTGAGATGCAAACAACGTGTGAAGGGTCTTGTGCTCAACCAAGCACAAAACTCTGTTTGTGCCGTGTGTAGCGGGGGTTGTTTACGCGATTCCACTCTCGTGTGGTAAGTGGTATTTCGGCCAAACGGGGCGCTGTCTTAATGAAAGGCTAAAAGAGCACCATTATAGTGTTCACAAAGCAATCCAGGGCCACATTGGAATTCACTGCCGCGATTGTGGATGTTCCCCCATGTTTGATCAATGTGAAGTGATAAAAAAGCACCCGTCACAATTAACTCGGGAAATTATAGAAGCGCATTGTATAGCAAGAGCTGGCATCACGTGTATTAGCGCCCCTTCTTTGGTTTTATCTGAACATGAAGTGGCCTTCCTTAATCAGGATAACCGCCTATGAATCTGCGATACGTGACGGTGCGATGTTGTGTGCAATCTTGTCGTTGCGTTAGGGTGGTTTTGTATGCTTGCGCCGGTCTACATATTTGATGCAGTTTTGACAATAAAGCTCAGTTGGAAGTTAGCGCTCTGTCCTCTTGTGTCGGTCTGCTCGGCCGTTTCTTCTTCCCCGTAATGCGCTATACCAGTTCAAGCCCGATGAACAACAATGGTGCACTGCACCCCTTCAACAGCGCACGTGGGGAGACTGCTCGCAAACTCCTAAAAGCAAGAAGAGGGAATGAAAAGAGAGAGAGAGGTCTTTCCTATGGACATCCGACCCGCGCAAGCCTAAACTCCAGTGCCGAAATGGCAGCCAGCGTCTCTGTCGTGCTGTGTAGTCGCAGCGATTTTTTTTTTTTTTTTTTGTTCTGACCGAGTCTGTCCAGGGTTCCATGAAAAAGCACTGAGAATAAAAAATGACAGATTAGTTGCATTTATCTAATCATACGGTGGCAACCTTCCGGCGTCATTTCCGCCCGCAAAGTTCTGGTGAGAGCCACTACACGGTGATGCGGTCAGCAGCGATGTAGTGACTTTATCGCGTGATTAAAATACTAAATCATTTGATATCAGCGTTTAGACCTATGCTAAAATTATCCCCAGCTATTGGTCTACGCAAATCGCAAATAAACAGCCATCGTCTTTCAACGACATTTGCAGTGAAACATGCAGATAGGGGGCCGATTTTTCTTCTTACAGAGGCGTAGCCAGAAATGTTTTTTGGTGAATAGGGAGTGGGGTCGAGATTCAGCGATAATTTATGTATGTTCCTAAATGCGCTTGTATGTGCACGTATATTTGTATATACACAAAGCGAAATTGAAAACTTTAGGGGACATTTGAACCCCAAAGTCCCCCGCCCCGCACACACAATGCTATACGACCGTGTTTGCTTATAAAAATAGTTTGACCAAACCATTGGTCAATCATTATTGCTAAAGGTACTTAAGTTGTTTGTTGGAGTTAACATCAAAATAAAATTAAAGAAGAAAAAGCAGCAACAGATGACCATTGCTCCTTCTTATTTTTAAATTTTATTGACGTTAACTTCAACAAAGAACCTGCATATACCGTCGGTAATATTAAGTGGAAAGGCAAGGGTATTAGACAATGCATGGACTGGCTTGTATACCCTGTGCTGCCTAAATGGGGTTAAATGTGCTTAGAAGAAGAGGTTAACGATTTGAGTACTTGGTACTCTACTATGGGAGAGCTGAAAGCCGTCCCCGATTGGACAATCGCTTGGTAATTGGCGAGAGTCGGCGATATTGGCGAGAAAATAAAAAGTAGTAGAAGAAGAAGAACAAGAAGGTATAGGATATAAGTATCTATATTTATCGCCGGTTTCATGGCCAATCCCCCGTCGTGGGTGGGGGCCATTAATCGATTAGCGAGCAAGCAAGACTGTATATGTGAGCACGAATCTAATCAATGCATGTCTCTAAGACCACCTTATATATACCCCAAAAGGCTCCACTACACGCACCCAACGTTTTCAGTTCTGAGCATGGTCTCGAGCAGCGTGCTAGGATTTACTTCGTTCCGACAAAGTGCGATTTCTCGAGATGAAAGTTCGTTTCTGGGGGCACCAAACGAGCACGTTCGCAAAGATCGCATGCGAGCAGAGAAGCTCGCGTGAAAAAATATTGCCTCTTCTTTATTTTTTTCTTTTAAATTTTTCATTTGAATTGAATTTAGGGACGCGTCATCGATGCGTCGACGGGGTTTGAAAGAGAGAGCTCGGGCCGCGAGAGATAAAGTGTAGAAAGAGTTTCGGCGATGAGGGAGGTGCTCCGTGGAGGACGCAGCCGAGGGGAAAGCTCGATAAATGAACGACCGCTGGGGCCGGAGAAAGAAGCAGCGAGTTGTAAAGAGCAGCAAGATAGAAACACCTCCGTCACGAAGGAGCAAAAAGAGCAGTAACTTCGTATGGGGGCCGTCGGGGGAGCACGCCAAAGTGAGAGAGAGAGAGAGAAAGTGTAAGAGGAAGAGGAATAGAAAGGGTGCTTCGGAAGAGAGAGAGCGGAGCGATGCAGGCGCGCCGTCTCGAAACTCTGTAGAGTGACGCAGTACGCGTCGTCTGCTACAGCTCTGCGTCTGTTTTAGCCGCTAAGTGCCCGAAGCCTCCAAAAACCGAACTACTGAGAATTGGGTACGAGGAAAAAAAAAAAGATATTTACAGAGAAGACGCCGTGCGATCTTATGACGGATGATCAACCCCACACTGGTTTCAAGTGATAATAATAATTAAAAAAAGGAGGTGGTTAAGGATAACAAACCGTGGTTAAGGATATCATAGTTGAAATCACGAAGAAAAATGGGCTGGACACGTAGTGCGTAGGTAAGATAACTGCTGGTCATTGCGGGTAGCTGACTGGACTCCCAGAGATGGCAAGCGCGCGAGGGGTACATAGAAAGTTAGGTGGGCCGAATGAGATTAAAAAGTTCGCCGGTATAAAGTGGAAGCAGCAATCACAAGACCGGGTTGATTGGCGGATCATAGGAGAGGCATTTGCCCTGCAGTGGGCGCAGTCAGGCTGACGATGATGATGCTCCTGTTTGAAGCTTTTCAAGCAGTCGTTTAACAGTGGGTTGTGGAATGGCGTTGCGATGGCTAAAGTACTGGTCGAGCAACTCTAGCGGTGGGTAACCGCATGGGTGCTATCAAGATCAAGAATTTATACGACCGCATCATGGACGGGCACCGCCCTAGCCTGTCTTCACACACTGTCAGCTTCGCTACTTCACGTTCGCGTCACTAGTGGTCAAAGGCTCACAGTAGGCATCCCGAAAACACTTCGATGGAACGACGAAGTCTTTCGAAAGTCACTTCTCCAGCGCAGAACTGCTTGGAGTGTTCACTACACAATGAAAGGCTTTAGCTCTCTCTCGCACTCGCTTCTTCTTTCCCCCCTTTTTTACTTCTTTTTTGTCTTCCACGGCAGCCAGCACGTTAATATTGATCGCCGACACAGCTACCACGCAGACATTCTTTCTTTCGCTGTCTTTCTTTTACTTGATCGTTCTTTTTTCTTTCGCGGCGACAAGGCACTGGCTCCCTTTCACCTTTTTTTTGCTTTTTCATGGACCTCTTAGGCCTAATTAAAATGACCGCTAGCCAGAGCCAATGGTCTACTCACCATGGCGTGCGCTGCTCTCGGTTAAAGTGAGCTAGAGTTTTTATCTGTGTTATATGATCACATCGCATGGCCGCGGACTTATGGTTTTGCAGGATACGTTACGGTACTTTATATGTGATTACATTTTTTTTAACTTAAGAATGGCGTTTTCTAAAAGGGAGGACCAAACGCCTTACGAAGGGATGGGGTTGTGTTCCCACAATCACTGGTATTAGTTTTATTTCGTTTTTTTTTTCGCCCTAGAAAAACTGGCTAGCGTTCCGCAAATTCGAAAGTGTCTCTTTCATTTTTTTTTGTTACTCTTCGTCAGCTGAAAAGAAGTAGAGAATAGGATCGCGCAAGTAAATGGCTCTAGTCGGGTGCACTTTAGCAGCCGCTTTTAAGAAATCTGAAATGGCGATAATGCTTGGACGCACACCATGACACAATTTATCATAAAAAAAAATAAGCAGTTGACTGCCACATACAGTGATTGCTCTAGATCTGCATTGGTTGTTTAGATAATCTAGTGCGTCGTATGTAGTGATAAGACACTATGTAAAGCAAAGCAAACGGCTTCTAGGGATCACGTAGTGCCTCCCGCGATAACACACTTTTTATGTTCTATCAGCTCCCTTTGCGCCCTTCTCCTCTACGGGACAGCAAACCAAAGCACTCAGGATGACCTCTTTGTCTTTCCTGTTAAGTAAAGTCATTCTTTCCATCTTGCGTCAAAGTCGCGACCTCACAGAACTCTCGCGTGTTCCTTCTTTTTATTCTCTCTCTCTCTTCTGAAATTCGCGCTGCCAATGAGGCAAAGTAAGCCCAGACCACCAGCAGTACCAATAGGTGCAGTATGACTCGAGATATTGTCGCGTGGCGAAAAAGTCAGGCTAGACCATGGTGTCGACGATGCGAAATTGCTGTCGCAGGGAACTTATGACAGGAATCAGTGGGACTCGTGCAGCCGACCGGGTATCTAGGCGTAGGATTGGGCGCCCTAAAGCACGTTCCGGCAGTGGACATGAGCAAGACAAGGACAAAGTGCCCGCTGCAACGGCGCGAGGATCCACGCACTAGGCGCTCATTCGCCACGCGAGCTCGCAGTCACTGGTCACGAGCTGCGCTTGCTGTGGACCGCCGCCCTTAGAAGCGTTCGGGAGCCGGGTTCGCAAGAGAACTGCGCCCCCGGCACGACCTCCTTTGAGCTGCAATGGCCACGGCGACTGCGAGCGCACCCGCAGCAGCTGGCGCAAAGGCCTCCGAATCCAATGCCGCCATGGACGTCGAGGTCCACTACGGGGATCTGCCACAGGATATGATCAACGAACTTCGTGACGTGGCCACTAAAGCCATGAAGGACTCCAAGGACTGGGCCGACATCGCCACCACCATCAAGACCGCCTTCGAGACCAAGTACGGTCCCACGTGGTTCTGTGTCGTGGGCAAGGACTTCGGCATCACCGGAACCTGCGAGATGAACCGCGGAGGCTTCGTCTCCATATCTGGGGTGGCCGTCGGCGTCTTCAAGTTCAAGTAATGGCTCACTTTTGTCTTCTCCACCACTGACGCGCACGGGCGATCCACCGAGAGCTCCCCTGGAGTTGCTGGGGACTGCACGCATTGATCCGGACTCGCTGAAGAAAAAAGAAAAAAATTGTGGAGAAATATAATCAAACTGTTTTTCAGCTCGATGCTTTCTTTGTCACATTTATGCACGTCTCTTTAGCTTCGATCAACAGAGCTGAGCTAGTTAAGCTTGACAGGGGCGCCTGCAAACACGGACACGAGAGAAGTCGAGTACCGTCGAATGTGGTGTCTCGACCTGTGTCTTGTCCTCGCGGTTGCACACTCTGTCTTTACTAATGAGCCTTAGCTTCATCTGGCAGATACAAAAGAAGCCGTAAACGTTTTAAGCCAGGCTCGTCTCTATACGACACGTATTGTCCCCCGCAGGCTAGTATTTTTTCCAAATGGGAGCTTGGGCATTCCGACGCCAGGCGGATCTACGATCGGCGACGTTGCCGTTCAAAATGGCGGGTGGAGATCGTTTTGTTGTGTGTTCTGGCTGCTGAAAAAAAAAACGACTCTTCAGGATGCGTTGGCTTGGATGCTTTTGTTGCAAACGCCGCTAGTGCTTGCGTGAGTACTGCGCTTTTAAGTGTTCCGGCTGCCTAGTGGTCCCACGTAGAGGTGTGTTTTCGGTCGAGCTGCTGCGAGAAGTCGAGATTCCCCGCCGAGCGAGAGCTGTCTGTCAAGCCTTTTCTCTTACCACGGGTCCGCGTTGTATTTGTTTTACTTTCTCCCTTCTCTCGATTTCGCATTAAGGCCAATTAAAAATACCGCGGTATCAGTCGCTACCCCCGGAAACGACTCGCTGTGTCTTGCGATCTCTGCGTAGGTCGTCCAGAAAAGTTTATTCCTTCTCTTTGTCCCGTACACTGCGGTGTCTTTGTCAAGCACGAGTACCATTTTGCGGTCCCCGACTTTGCGGACGCCTCTTGCAGCATTGCTGCCGAGCCTGGCACGATCCCGTGCAGACGCTGGTGCGAGTGCGTGTGTCCAATTTGGTTTGTTCTCTCGCTGCGCGCGCCGGTGGCCACGGAGCCAAGGCCCTTCAAAGTTTTCACCGTTTTTGTTTTGTTTACTTTCACGCTTGATCGTCTTCCGAATGGGCCGTCGGCTACCGCCCGTCACCCGCCTTGTGTTCTTCGAGGAATGAGAGAAAACAAAAAAAAATGAAAGGAAACTTTGTGCGTCAACGTTTTGTCTATTTATCCTGGATAGGTTCTCGACTGCAGTGCGTGACCGTTCTGGGCATTTAATTGCTGCGATACGAACGGCACTGCGCTCGCTTGCGTTCCTCAGTGGGGGTCGCGGCGCAGTGGTGGCCTGAGCATCACGCAGTTCATATCCGTTTTAAGAGCATTTACTCCAAGTGTTTACTTTTGTTTTCGTCTCCTCCTCTGGTTTCTGTTCCGTTTTTTCACTGATGGTGCAGCAGTGTTTGCTTTCCTCGTGCGGTGTTGAAAGAACAAGTGTTGTTTTCCTTTATGCAATTAATCCGTGGTCGTCGAGCTTTTCTCCATTTTTTTCTTTTGCTTGTTGCTCCGCAACGTTTCTCAGAAGCCCATTAGGCACGAAGAATAAGTAAATAAATGGTTCAAGCAGTTATGCGCTATTTTTTTTATTTTCGAAGTTGGTGGCATAATTTTCGAGCAGTGTTCCTGCGTAAAACTATTTGATGTTGCAAGTTTAGGGTTGCGTAAAAAAGAAACCAAGTTGCGAGGTCTCGAGCAGGTGTTCTGCGTTCTAAGGATCGCCTATCGACGAAACATGTTTTGCTGCGTCGGTTCTCTGACGTGCAACTTGATATTCGTGCGATGCTCGCCTACATTCGCGAGAAAGAAAAAAACAAACAATGTAACAAGATAAAGCTGACGCGGTTTCGTAGTCAGTTTCCTGCATGTGCGACCGTCTGCTGGGAATTGGCCGATACATGGTTTGCAAAGATAGCGAATGAAAACAAAAGTTCTTAAATATGGCACTGTGGAATAATATTGGGAATACCTTCTCAAGAATTGAGTGAAAATCAGGAAACCGAGTAGGAATGTTTGAATTGATGCGCGGACACTCTTGTGACGATGCCCTGCAGGGAAGGCTCTGTAACAAAATATTGCATGGAAATATAAATTGTAATACGGTGATTGATGGCTGGAAATTTATATTCTTTTTTATAAAGAAAAATGCTATCTGAAAGGGCAGCTATGGAGAGGATTCATGTTATGCACTTTGCACCAACCTTTCAGGCTGAATGGTTGTTGAGTATTCTGGCTTTTTTAATTAGGCTCAACTGTGTCATTTTGACTGACTCTGCGTTCTTGTATAACCTCACTTTATTTGTGACATGCTTTAGACTCATTTCTTGCTTAGACGCTTATGACTTGTTTCGTTTCGTGTGGGTGTCAAAAACTAATATTATGACGCCTTCAAAGTAAGCCACGGGTGCTCCTTCTAAATCTAACCGTCTCGTGATACAATAGACTGTACTTCAGTAGAATACAGTACATTGCTGAGTCAGTCCACCATGTGGGTCTTCAGCAGTATCCTTTGGCTTTGTGTCTATTCTGCCTTTTTGGAATAATCAGGGCAGCAAACTTTCTTGGAAACTGCATACACAGGCAAATGTTCACTCTCTCTATATAAATAAAACTAAATAAGTACCACTACCGCTTTACATTTTCCCTCCTGCTTTTTTTCCTTTCAAGTGATCATGAAGCTATAAAGAGATGTTCAGCAGAAATATGTTTTATTATTAAGCAGTTTTGACTTTCGATTGATATGTGGGGTTTAACGTCCCAAAACCACTATATGATTATGAGAGACGCCATAACTGACTGACATGACTTTCCATCATTCATTTATATGTATCTTCACAGCACTGCTTTCATATATTTTGCATCAACCACTTGGGTCTCATGCCTAATGAGCGTGGAAAATAAATTGAAAAAAGAAAGGCCTGGAGGGTCTAAGAAAGAGCTGCAGGATTATGCTAATTGTGCCAGTTTTAGTTTTAGAAGTTTGAAATGAGCTCAGCCTATTTCAAGAAACCATGACACAGTGAAAATCTCATTTCATCATCCGAACGGAGCATATGAGGGCACACGACAATTAATTGAACCTGAAACTGTGGTCTGATTATATATTTTAACATCTATAGTTTCAATTTTAGGGCCTCACCTCTGCATTCCTACCAGCAGTGAAAGTGACTGCTATCTTGGCATGCACTGTGCAACACCAGGGAATGAACAGCCACTGCTGTTTCATCTGCTTCTGTCGCGTGATACCATGCTAGCCTATTCTGGATGCACTGGTGCCCATTTGCTAGCAAGAGTGGGGCTACTTCTCTTGTGCAGTAGAATACTGCAGAATATCGCCAAGACAAACTTGTAAAAACAAAGCAGTGTGTGGTCGTCATGATATCTTCTGGCTCTTGCAATGCCTTCCTGTTTTTTGCTCTGTACGAAAGCATGGCTTTCGAGAGTGGTTTCTGTTATCTGAAAGATTCGTTTGGGGGATATTGCTTCATCTTGTCGCTGCTGGTGTTTGCCAGGCTGCTACGCAGTTCAATTTCAACATGTGAAAAAATTTCAAATACAAAATTTTATATCGTGCCAAGTAGGGCTCAGACCTTGCCATCTTGTTGGATGCGTATGGGTGAATGTGCAATGCTTAATTCGACCTCTGAAAAATTTTGGTGTCATGAGCTCTTTAACGCCATTATCGTTCTTTGGAAACTTAACACACAAGTGGTTCGTTTGTCTGTCGATGTCTCTTTCTGTGCATCTAACCTCTTTCACTTCAACTTGGGTTGCTGGGTAGTTCATCTGATGGGTAGGACATCAGGCTCCTGGTCTGAGGGAGCTGGTTTTGAAAGCAATCGTCGAACGAACTTTGGTCACTGAGCATGTGAGGTATGTGCTGCTCTTCAGTGAACTCCTTTCGCAATCATTTGGGCTGTTTACCATCCGCCTTAACATACCTTTGTCACTTTTATTTTATTTATCTATTTACTTGGATACCCTGAGAGCCTGAAGAGCATTACATAGGGGTTGTTTAAAAAGGAGTGAAGGATACATGCAGTAATGCTGGCGAAACACAGCAATTCAACGTAAAAGACAGCACGGTTATATGAGAGAAGAACGACGAGATGACAAAGCGATGGCTTACAACATGTGGCTAACAATGATTCAAGAAAAGAAAAACATTAGTAGCGTAATGCAGACATGACAAATGTTACAGTGCTAACAAAGATAGTGTGCTGCTGCTGCATATTTCTGAACAGGATGTACGCAACATTCTACCAAACAATGATAACATGAGGGGGATGACTTTCAGGTTAGTTCAGCTGCGGAATCGAATGACAATAAACCACCACATGCAGTAACAAATACCATGAAGAAATCTATTAAAAGCTGTTGCCGTGCTCCAGAAACTAGTGGAGCGCTGACTGAAAAAATAGATAATGGTTGATGGGGGGGGGGGTGACAATACCTGATGGAAATGAATTCCATTGATGTATTCGTAGCGCAAGAGGTGAATACACTCAATATATCTCTAGCCTCGCGGTTGTTGCTCCTTTCTTCAGAGTGTATGGTATGTGCCATGGAAGATAGATCATCATCATTTGGCATGCATTCTTCAATAGGCAGGGAAACCTCTGTCGTCGTGTAGGCTATGTGCTTACTAGAGCGACGTCGCTCTTGAAGTAGTACCAAGTGCATGTTTTCATGTTCCTTGCCTGTCTCTCTTCGGTATGTTACAATATTATTCTAAGGTGCCATATAAACATGCCCCCATAGTAGCAGAAATTTTAGTGCAGTTGGGGTGTGGGCGTCATTGGCTTATGAGAGAAAAATTGTCCTGTTCGTGACCGAGAAATGTAGAAAGATCTGAATAAAAAACAAAAGTTTCTGGATCCGAGCGAGGATCAAACCTAGGCCGTCTGTCTGGCAAGCAGGAGTTTCCACCATAGAGCCACAAGGTTTGATGAAACTGCCTCTGAAGGAAAAAAAAAAATCACTGCATGAATGTTGTGTAGGGGAAGGAACCATTTCAACGCATAACATCCCTTTCAGTCACGAATTAAAATTCACTGTCAAAAACTGCGTGAAATTGGCATTGCATAATTTCCAAGGCACTCAGCACTAGAAAAAAAAATGAAAATGAATGAATGTGTTCTTTTGTATGTGTTTCAGTGTATAAAGTTAAAAGGTGTGCAACTAATTATTTTACACCTCTGTCATTAGTCCACTTTAGTAATTGCATTAAAATAACTAACTATTGACCCGAAATGCATGCAGTTTCTTTTTTGGTTGTATTAATTGCGAGCGCAGGAGAAAAAAATAAAATTTCTCGTTGGTCCTAGAACTTGGCACGTCAAACATGGTAGTGTCTGCAGCAAAGTTCTCATATTCAGCAATATGCACCACAATGAAATTAAATTATATTTATTCACTCAGGAAGCCTGCAGGAATGTGCACACAGATTTTCAGGCCATTTGAAGAAACACGCAGTGTGTGACACACATTCGAAGTTCGTGTAAACAATTGTGTATGCCATGACTGAAGGGTATATATTGT